ATATATAATAAAACTGAAGAACTTATACGACAATAATGAGAAAATGCTTTTATTATTAATTTATAGCATTACAATAACGCGAATTCCACAAAAGTAAAACAAAAAATTCAATTAATAGAAATTCTAACAAAAGCCACAGCTTAACCAATAGAAGAGTATACTATTGATAACACGTTCTAAACTTAAACAACGTCAATGAGCTTCCGTTCAAAAGCATGATTGATTCAATCTACTCCAGGTCTGAAAGAACATGTAAAAAATTATATTTACCCAAACACAATTTCTAATGACGTTTTCTTTTGATAAAAACATGAGTTTACTTGGTTTATCCGTATATTTTCTTTGGTTGCATAATATATCTTGTGATAGTTTTTTCCAAGTAGCATTCCAAACGTTTTCTGAATTTGTGATACTATGTGTTAGTAATAGGACACAAAACAGCTTGCGTAGATCATTTGCTGATGCCCAATAACATGCTTCTTTAATAACTTCAATATTTTCTTCATCATAGTCCTTGCAGATAACAGAAGAAGTTATTTTTTTCCATATCTCTGTTTTAGATTCTCAAAATAGACATTCATATTTTGTTAGTTTTTTTAAGTACACAGGCACAAAAGTTATTTTTTTCTAAAAAAACATCATTAGATTAATCTTTTGAAGAAAATAAGCAACTTAAAATGTAAACCATAAGAAAATGTAAGATATATATATAACAGTATTGATATGGTTGCACAATAAGTTAGTATCAAATAATATATTCGTATTATTTATTACATTCTTTTTATTGCTATATAGATGTTCTGAATTTAATGCGTTAACATAAATCATTCTTAATTATTACCAATCAATCTTGTGAATTAAATAAGTAATATAAAATAAGAAGAACAGTTATGAATTAAAAATATCCCATAGAAACCTGCAAAAAATTGTCAAATTTTGTTAGCAACTGTACAATATAAAATAATTTAATAGATTTCTAAATTTTATTGAGACAAAAATAATATTAAATTTGCATATCGCTATTGAAACAAACTGATAAATGGTTTGTAGTTAACTACAACCGGTCTTTCGTCTGCGTTATTTATCTGTTAATAGAAAAAACAAACAAATGTAAGAATTTATAAATTTAAATTTTTTTATCGAATAAAAATAGACTAATAAGTTAGTATTGACTCCTTTATATATACTCTACCTTCCTTTTTTCTTATGTTATTAGGGAGATATTTTCATAACAAATGATGTTTAGGAATATAATTTCATAATAAATAATGAAACAGTTCAAAGAAAGATATTAAAATTATATTGTCATTAAATGATTTACAATTAATATGTTATAAACTTGTGCAATTAAATCATATTCAAAATAAGGTAAGATTTTTAAAACGAATTAACAAATTAGAAACATTAAGGTATATTGCATTAAAACAATGTAATAAATATGATTTGAAGTTGCACAAGTAATATGTGTTCAAAATAAGTTTATAAAGACGATTAACAAATTAGAAACATTAAGGTAAATTGTATTAAAACAATGCAATAAATATAATTTGAAGTTGCACAAGTAATATGTGTTCAAAATAAGGTAGGTTATTAATTAACTAAAAACATTAAGGTAAATTACATTTAAACTATAGATATTTAAATATTAAATGATATATAATAAGGAAATAATAAATATAAAATAGTTGATATAACTTTTTGATTAATAAATATTACTATATATATTTAATTTTAATTAAAAAGATCATATAATTGCCAACCAAAAAAATATATCAATTTTAATTAAAAATATCATAAAACAAAATCACAATCAGCAAACCAAAGAAATATATATGTATATATAAGCTTATAATTCTAAACAATAATATAAATCTACTAATAAAAAAAAATGTATTGGCAGAACAAAAAGATGCTATTGAAATGATATAGCTGAGAGATGTTATCAAATAGAGAATTTTTTTTACCAGATTGAGGAACAAAGATGTTATCGAAATGATATATCAAAGAGGTGTACAATCAAATCATATATAGCTTCAGTGGAGAAATCGTCATAATAGGATATCTGCATATAAACCAAAAGAAAAATCAGCTCTCATGAAATATAAAAGTTTAATGTTCTAAAATAAGAAGAAAAAAAAAGTTTAGAACATTATTAACATACAAAGTTCAGAATACAAAGTTCAATGATTTCATTTCTTCTATTGTGAATGTCTTATTTATATTAGATGGACGTTTTTCAATGATTTAGCTTGCATGATAAGCTAAGAAGTGACATATTCTCTAATAAATTCTCAATAAATCTTATACTTTTAAGGTAATATTATTTTTGGAATATCTTGTTGATAAAGCTAAAGGAGAATATCTCGTGAATAGATTGCACAAGAATTTTGGTTTAAGTTTTAAATGCATGATTTTAGGAGAGAAAATATCTTATCAATTAATTTTGTTTTTCTGACATCGGAAATATTTAATGAGTATTTAATGAATTAAACAGATAAAGATCGCAAAAGGATGTTCTTTGAATCGAGAAAACACAAAAGGTAAGTATTTAAATGGATTTCCTTTTAGTAGTGTCGATGGTAAAAATAAATAAAAAAATAAATTTTAAAATATCAACCAATAGAATCGCTAGAATTCTTCTGAGAAGGGCTGTGTGAGTGCCACCTGGCAAATGTACTTCTCTTTTAATATATAGAGGGATTTTTGATATGACTAAAATGGTCAACACAAATATGATTTTTGGTTCTAGTTTTAAAGTGGAAGATTTATATGGATTCCTTAACAATTACTCACTCAAATTCCTTTTTTTCCTTTTGCATCTTGATTAAAATAACTAATTTAAAAATATTCCTATATGTTTTAAATAAACTTAAGAATAATACATTTTAGAAATGAATCATATAATAAAATAAATACAAAAAAAATATTTCCTAAGTGTTGAGCTTTTTGAATTATACATAAATTTAAGAAGACTAGATGATATGCTTTTGTTGTATTTATTTTCTATTGTAAAAAAAATCAAATTGTATATGTGTTCAACTTTACTTGAATTATATAAATTATTTTAGCCACTAACTAATCTTTTTTTTTTGTAGATAGAATCATTACAAAATATTGTATCTCAAGAACAGTTACAAGTATAACTAAGAACTTTTATTTTTTACGTTTAGTTGTAAATTTAATTTGAGTTTAAATAGTTACTAATTTTAACTTATAGCTGAAATTATTTTAAATTTGTATGTTTGAATGAATTTTTTCCTTTTTAAAAATATTTAAGTTAATAAACTATGGAAATGGAGGGTTGAACAGGCCCGTCTCAAATATTGGCCTAAGCCCATCAAACGATTCTGCCCGCTCTCAAGTCGTTTTTTAGTCCACATGACCGGAAAATTCCCAAAACTAAAACAGAAAAGATGCAGAAATCGTTCTCGTTGATCCAGACGGTGGCAATCTCCGGCGTATTCTCCGCCGTCTCTTGCTGGTTAGTCATTTTATTCATCTGATATCTATAAATTCCGATTTCTTGATCCTCCTCCTTTCCATTTCTATCAATTTAGGGTTCATACTGTCTTGTGTTAACTCTAAAGGTATGGATTCATGTTCGGTAGAGAATCCGCGAGAAAAGAACTCGGCGGTTTGATCGAAGACCTCCGCCGCGGAGGCTCCGACTCTGTTTCTCCTCCCCAGACAGAAAGTTCTTTTTGATTTCCAGAATGCTCATTATATTTTTTATTGCACTCTTTTAATTGAGCAATGATTGTATGAACGATGTCTTCTCAAATCCTTGGAGTTAAATTTTCACCAGACATTTCAAATTTACTGTCATTGTATGCAATACTGTATATTGGTTGATGATGATAAGAGAAACCAACATTGATTGAGATCATAAACATTGTAACACTGTACAGCTTTGTTACTCTCTCATCTCTATGTTTTATTATGTATCAGACAATTACGAAATGCTTGGTACATATACATATATATATATATATATATATATATATATATTAATCTATATGGTATGGAATGTTCTATACATATTAGCAATTTAAATTTTGGATGATTTAGACGAATGTTTCGTTTAGCTATGTTTCCGAATCTGACCTTGTATACAATATTGTATGGTACGTATCTATTTCGAGTAATCAAACTAGAGAAGGCTCTTCAACCTTCTCGCCGATCCTGCCTCTGACAAAACCCACATAAAGCTCACTTCCTGTTGTGTCTTCTTCAGAGAGTCGTCTCCTCCTGCCATGACCACCTTCCTTCATGTTCTTAACAAACTCTACCAACTGATGCCAGTTTTGTCCCTCGAATAGCCTCTTGTTCATTCGTAGGTAAGTAAACGCTGTTAACCCGTTTCCTGAATCTGACCTATTCGTTGCAACCACTTGTCCGAACGCGCTCGAGTCGTATCTCTCCAACGCATTCTCCCCTGCTAGCTCGGTTCCAGCCTGCCTTGCGGCGCTCTGCACCTGTTTAACCAAACCTTCCGGTGAGCAGTTCGCGTGCTCAGGTTGTTCTCCGTCTTTCATCTCCATGCATGTGAAGTTGAGCACAACACCGTGTTTGTTGAACATCTTAGCTATAGGTAAGTACCCGTCATGGTTTCGTGTGTTGTAATACCCAGCGGTTAGCTCAGCAGCGTGTGACCTCGTGTTGTAGTGCCAATGTATTCCGGCTACTTTTCCCGATAGCTTTGCACCGGTTCCTTGAAAGATTGCTTTCGCTGAAGCTAGGAGTTTGTCTCCGTGTTCAAGTAGCTTCACTGAATACCATTCCATGAAGAACTTTCCATACTCACTGTTCCATGTTCCGTCTCTCCTGAAAAACTCAGTGTCTTCAGGGAGGTTCTTGTAGTCCCCAGCGTCATGAGGTCCACTTGTTCCCCAGTTTGGTTTCCCAATTGATTCAGCATATCCTTGAAGCGACGATCTCATATACTGCAAATCAAGAGGTATATAGTTTCTTAGAACAAGCCAACAAGGGTTTGGAGTTTTTAACTATACACTATCTAATGTTCTTTTGAATGCAAGTCTTTTTCTACTAGCTTTATTATATACCTTGTCATAGCACTGAAACCCCCCAATTCCTGGGAATCTCCATGTCCCATTGGTCTCAGGGTATGATGGGTATCTCAACTCTCCACAAGGTCCCATTCCAACTTGAATTTCCTGCAATACATGAAGAAATAAATGATGATACAATATGATTAGGTTACTGTAGATGCTCACGTCTTGCATGAAGTTGATTACTAAAAGAGTCTAGATGCTTGCTTACCGCAATGACTCCTCCTATGTAGTTACTGAATCTTTCACGGAAGCTTCTCATAAAATCTGAATAGACCTGGATAGGTGTTCTTCCTCTAAGGACAGGCACAGAATCACATCCCAAGGAGATATACTCTGGATTCCTTCTCCCAGATTTATCTGTGTAGACAAGATCAGGGTTCTTGCTGATTTCTTCAAGCACCCATGGAGGCAAGGGAATACTAGATTTCAAAGAGACAAAACATTTAGCGAAGCTAGAAGTGAGAGACAGAGATCTTCTTCAAAAAGGGAGAAACTAAAGTTGCTTCGTTACCTGCAAGAGTCTCCAACGTTTCCTCCACATTGATGGAAAGACATAACAACCTGGAGTTTGAGACCGTGCTTTTCAACCATCTGTATAAGCTCGGCATAGCCTTCCCAGTTATACTTCATAGGTCCATCTTTCTCAACCAATCCCCACCAAGCATCAACCATTACACCTTCCACACCAGCTCCTTTTAGAGCCATCAAACTAGCGTTCATGGCTCTTGGCTTATTCAAATGCCCTGACATTGTTACCGTGTCTAGTGGTAACATGACGAAAACCGGAACGCTAGAGTTGTTCTTGGGATGTGGGTATGAGAGAACGTGGAGCTTCTCCCATCTTTCAAAGGCTTCACCTTCTGGCTTGAAGGTCTTCTCATGAGTGAACTTCATTTCCTTAACCGAGCTCTTTGCTTGGAATTGATATGTTGGTGGCTTCATTTTCGCAAAGGAAATGCTAGAGGAACTTTCTTGGTTTCTTGAACTTTTGGTTTCTTTACGTTTGATTAGAGAACAGGAGGAATTTAGTGTTAATTCCATAGTTTTCTTTTTCTCTTTGTTCTGTTGAGAAATGAGGATAGAGTATAGAAATGTTGGTGTTTGAGAGAAGAAATGTTGGTGTTTTGAGAGAAGATGATGTTTGTATGTTTGCTTTTATAAAGAAAACTGATTGGCTGTGATTTAGTTCCATTTTTTTCACATATCACACTTAACAAAAAGTGTAGGTGTCACATCGATACCGTGTTTCAATTTCATCTGTGTATTCAGGTATATAGATAATAAATTTATATTTTGTTCCAAAAAAAATTTGTTAAAAAGAAAAGAATAAATTTTCTTTTTTTTCCTAGTTGGTAAACTATTCATATACATTCCTGCAGTCTAATCTTTGCTTTTCTCTTGTTAAAATCGATAAGCTGATAGTTTTGTCTACTCAGCTAGTCAGCTTGAACACTTGGTTTGTCTGGTTGAAAGTTCTTAAGGTCACTTCACTTGTTATTTGAAAAGAAGATAAGTGCAATGAATTTTTATTTCAATATCAAATTTATTGTGGTCGCTGTTAACTCTGCTTTTTTTTTTCTTCTTCTTCGACTTTCCTTCTTGTATGATTTGTAATTTTCGACTTCGCAGCAGTTTATTGACTAATAGATTAACAAAAGCTAATGTGTGTTCGATGATATTCCTTCTCATGGCCAATCTTGTTCAAAATGATACTTCTTTATTGGATTCTTATTTTTTTTCACACTCAATGATTTTTTTACGGTAATGCTTTATACTTGTACCTAGCTATGCATGTGCGTTTCATGTTAGAAATGAGTTCTAATAATGCCTTACTATTTGGGAATATCTTTCTCTATCTTTTTCTGGCTGACTCATTGAAAGTGAAAGTTTGGTCTATATTCAGGTGGCATAGATTGCGCTTTTGGCTATTTCTTCATCGAAGACAGTTGTTCCTCTCGTTGCTAATTTCCACCATTAATTATTTGAATGGTAGAAATCGATCCTTATCGCTTTGGCACATATCTCTTCTTTGGCTTTTGCTTTTTATTCACAAGGTCAGGGAGTGTGTGGTAAGGCGGGGACGACAGTGGACATTGACTCAAACATGTGGGCTCTTCGAATCCTTATTGGTAAATTCGTAGTTAATAAACATATTTGTTAGAAAAAACTGAGTATAAATTCTTGAACATGCATGCATCTCCATTATCTATCATGATTCCTTATGTTAATTCAAAGATTATAGTAACTTTTTACCAAAAAAATGAAGATAATAGTAACGTTTTATGCTAAGTATAAAGATAAATAACCTCGGTTAACAAGGATATGTGCATGTTGTGAAATACGGTCACGAAATTGAATAAACACACGCTTTATTGTAACTCTTTGTATAAATAAAAGGATACGGTACGCAGCATTGTAGGAAAATTATGATTGCGACTTGTTATATTATGTCCATGCAAAGTTTTGAGCTTTATTATGAAGATAGCGCATGGACTGGTTCACACATACTGATATACATCAGCAAAAGTCCATAAAATAGTGAGTAAAATGAGTTGATATCTTTGTTCCACGTAAACTACTTGCGTACCCTCCCCACATACATAGTTCTGACTTTGATCTTTGTTGCTTGATCTAATATGGTTGACGCCTAATTAGAGCTTTGTGTCATGGCATTAGTTAAAAAGATCAGGAGTTTAAGTTAGAAATTGTAGGACTGTAGTTGTTGGCAGAGGCGGAGTACGTTGACGGTTAGGGGGGCATTGCCAATAAGGGTGGGCACGAAGCAAATATCCGGGTATTCGGAGATATTCGTGATCCGATCCGTTTCATTCGAATAATTAATTATCCGATCGATTTGATCCGTAGCTCTTCGGATATTTGCCATCGTGGATATCCGCAAAAATTTAGGATTTTACCGGATATCCGATTCGATCAGTAAAAATAAAATAAATTTTTTTAAAATAATATAAAATAATAATATTTTATTACAAAAAAAAATTTAATTAACTTTAAGAGTTCTAATAACTAATATAATAAATTTAATAAATAAAAATCTTGTAAAACATAAATAAAATATAATATTTATATAATTTCTATATATACTTCTTTAATTATATGTATATAACGGATCCGATCAGATATTCCTTCCTAAAAATATTAGTATTTGTTATTTGTTTCATCGCTTACGGATATCACATTTTAGTATTTACTTTGCTTCGTAGGGTTACGGATATCCAAATTTTTCGGTTCGAATCGAAACGGATAACAAATCGAATCAAAATTTACAGATATTTTTCCCAGCCCTACTTGCCTACCATGGAAATATTAAAGTTAGTTTAGCTTTATAACAAATTGAAATTATGCCCCTGTTGTTATATTATTTTTTGCCCTCTATACTCTAAATAATTACCATAATTAAAAATATTCTAATTCATGTAAATGTAAAACAAAAGCCGAATTTATTATTTTTTTTATATCTACAACTACAATCCCATATTTTAATGAATTGGGCTTTACTTTATTGGGGAAATTGTTTTTTAGACCAAAACCATTAGGACATCATCCATTTAAGCTAAATTATATTTTGTACCATTTTTGACTCTAATACCATTTATTATATTCGAAAATTAATAAAATAAATAGATTTATGAACCAAAATACAATTTAATAATAGTACCTAATGATGAAATACCTATGTCAATAAAGTGATATTTTTTCTAGAATTAAAAATGTGTAAATCGTAATTTCATATTTTGTTCTACATATATTAGAATCCGTGTACTACTTAGTAGAATACTAAATCTACTTTTTTCATTATTTCTACTATTTTCAGAATACGTGTTCTACAAAAATAACAGTAATCTAAAATATTTTGGAATACACATTCCGCGTTTAACATATTCTTCTAATATATGTAGAAACCATAATCTAAACATTTCAATAAATCTAAAATAAGAGAAATCAGAATCTACATTCTTACTACCATTCTAATACTTGTATAAACTGATTTCAAACGTTCTTACTGAGTTCTACCTTTAGTAGAATATGTATTCTACAGATAAAATATCCAGATCCGAAAATATAGGAGAAAATCTTTGGAAATATTCAGTTTCCGAATTTTTAAATTCGTTTTTTTTTTAAAATGGAAAAACTAATTTCGAATTAGTTTGGGGATTTTTTTAATTTTTAATTTCAAATTATTTTTTAATTAAATCTAAAATAGATAATAATGATTTTCTAATTATAATTACAAATTAATAAATTAATTTTAAACGCAGTATTGCCATTTAGAAAATATTTAGTTTAATAGAACAATAAGTAAATGAGATTAACCTAAAGAGATAATGTCCTAATGGTTTTGGTAAAGAAAAGTATTTTCCCTACTTTATTTAGCAGATCTAATCCAGTTTAAACAAAAGTAGTTTTTACTCATTAAAAAATAGAAAATAGGGTTTTGCCTTAGGAAAGGCAACTCAAAGGTCACATGTACTTGTCATCGTCTTCTCAACTTCTTCTTCCCCTGCGATTTGTTTTCCACCGGCTAGAATCAGGTACGATAAATCCGGCTAGAATCAGGTACGATTACGAAGTGCACGAAGTCTCTTGTCCAGGTAAATTTCTTTTCTATTTATTTAATTAGCTTATATGATTGTATCTATTTTAAATGTATGTTTGATTCTCTTTTTATTGCTTTCTGTTCTAGAATTGTTGATGATATGCTTTAAGGTACACGTGACCTTTGAGTTTTACAGTAAAGTTGAGACTTGTGATGTTAATGTAGAATAATTTTAAACGCAGCCAATATTATTATATTTGGTGTTGAGCATAACATGAAAATTTATTGGTAATGTAATGAATTGTGTTTAGTTTAGTAACATGTTAAAAGATTTAATGGAGTTGACTTTGTAGGGAAAATTTCTTAAAAATACACGTACTGAATTTTTTTTGCTAAAATAATACACGAACTTTTTAGACTCCATCAAATATATCAACTTGTAAATTTCGGAGGATTCGCACCTCGAATTTAACAGAGTTAACTCTGTTTAACAGAATATTAAACCGACGTTAATATTTTAATTACACACGTGCTTGAATCGTGAAAAGCTTGGGTTTATCCTAAAATCCCCAAATCGATTCAAAACAAACCCTAATTTCCTAAAATCCCCAAATCGTTTCACCCCAAACACCTTAATTTGTTCTTCTCTTCTGGCGCTGTAAATTCGCTTTGATCTCCATGTTATCAGAGAGGTAAAGAAGATGAGGTGATTCCCTTTCATTTTCGAAACTGTGTTCTTCTTGTTCATGTCGATTTTACTTCATTTTTTATTCTAATTCTTCAATTTAATTGTAGTGAACAAGGGTTGATGAAAGTTTCTCTACACTATGGAGGCACCATGGAGCGCAAAGATAACATCTTTTTTTTATTTGGGAGGATTTTTCAACAAGGATATTTCAATTGATCCGGATTACATGACATGGTCGATGTTTGAAGGGTTCTGTGAAGACAACATGTTTAGTGTGTCTGTGAAACATGTTTGGTACAAACTTCCTCAAGAAACTATGGATTCGGTGAAAGCAATTTCAGAACTCACTTCAGATGTTGTTATTTTCCAGATGTGTACTGAAGCTCCGAAACTAGGTGGAGGTGGGGTTGATATTTATGTTGAGCAGAATGTGGTAGAACAGGACGGTGAAGAAAACAAACGTGAAGAAAACATGGAGGAAGAAGACAAACGTGAAAAAGACAGAGACGAAGAAGAAAGGGTGAAGAAGATAAATGTGAAGATGACATAGATGATGAAGGTCAGAGCAACAGAGAACAGTCAAATGCTGTTGATGAGATAGAGGAAAAATTGTCGAAGACGGAGGAGATGATATTCCATTTCAGTCACTCTTTGGGAATATTTGTGATGAGGAAGTGCAATGTGAAACTAATGGTGATGAGGAAATTAGAGGTGGAGCGAATGATAATGAAGAAATGAGAGACAGTTAAGGGATGATCCTTGTCCAGCCCTTGTTGTTGACACTGACGATGAATGGAAAGATTTCAATCGACAAGAAAAACACCGAAGAGGAGCATTCAAAATGCACCGAAGAGGAGAAGAAATGCTCAAAGCCAGTCCACACCAAATCCGGTCAGTACAAAGCCTTGCGTTGATCCAAAACCTTCAACTGCTCCACAGCCTTCAAATGCTGCAACTGCTAGAGGCCATGGCCGTACCCGGGGACGATGGAGAGGGCGTGGTCAAGGCCGTGGACGTCAGTGTGAGCCTCCTGTACCAAGAGAGTCTAGTTTCTATATTGGTCCTTACTCTGGTCGTGTATTTGAGGTATGGGGGTCTACTACTATGAGTGATCAGAATTCACAAGGCTCTCAACAACAACCTCAAGACTCTTAATCTCTATCATTTCATTATCTTCTTGTATTGTACTTTTCAGTTTTCAAATTCTGTAGGATGATCTTCTTTTGGTTGGATGTTTTCCTTTCTTAAACTTCATCACCTTCTGTCACTTGAATTTAAGATTATCTATGATATGTTTTTTTTTAAAAAGAACACAAGAACAAGACACAAAATGTAACAACAACCAACATAATGATAAAGATGCAATTACAACCATAACAAACCAACACACATTCATCAAAAATACAAAACAAAACACAGCTAATGGAAACATGACAAACCGAAATAGAAACACAAATCCTAATGAAACTACTTCTTCAGAATGCCAACGACCATGATGACTATGATAACAACGAAGACTCCCCAGAAAAGACCAAGGAATTGTCTTAGCAATTTCTCCTTTTCAACTGATGTTATAAGTGCAGTTTCAAGTTTTTTCTTTTCCTCTACGATTCTATCTCCTTCCTCCAACAATAATGCAGTTGAATCTTCAGTTTTTACTTGTTGAGAAGTTGTCCTAACCAACTGCTTAAGATTTCTGATTTCTTCTCTCTGACGATCCATCACGCCTCTGGCATCCAGTAAACTTTGTTTCTTCCATTCATTTTTCTCCTCCTTATCAATCCAGTCGACGAAACCATGAGAATCACAACACCAAAACCTTCGACTTTGATTTTCATCTCTCCATGCCTTCGCTGAACTTGTTCGCTTCTTACAGTAGCATAAGGAACCGTCAAACTTCTTCTTGTAGAATGACCTTGCACCTGAACTCGAGCATTCACTATTAGCCATCGATTTGGGAATTTCTGGGAATGTTGAAACAAATTAGGGTTTGTTTTTAATCGATTTGGGGCTTTTTATTAAGAAAACCTGAGCTTTTCACGGTTCAAGCACCTGTGTAATTAAAACGTTAACGTCGGTTTAATATTCTGTTAAACAGAGTTAACTCTGTTAAATTCGAGGTGTGAAACCTCCAAAATTTAAAAGTTGATGTATTTCATGGGTAACAAAATTTATTTTGTGTATTAATTGGGGAGTCTAAAAAGTTCGTGTATTATTTTAGCAAAAGAAATTCAGTCCGTGTATTTTTAAGGAATTTTCCCGACTTTATATTAATTTATTACTATTTTTACTGGTTTGTAGAAAATGGAGCAATACTATAACAAAATAAGTGCCTATGATTCTAAAAGAAATCTGGATAAATTGGATAACTCCGATGATTTGGATGCTTTGCCACGGGATCCAGCTGAAATTTTTTTTTTTGCAGTATCTTCCGAATTAATGAGACGAAGTAAGGCGTAAATATTTAACTAGAGGTCCATGATAACCCTATGGTCATGTTTTTCAACAGAAAAAGTTTGGAACAACAATGAGGTGGTTTAATCCAGCTTGGTTTGAGAAGTATGGTAATTGGCTAGAGTACAGCATCTCCAAAGATAAAATATTCTGCTTGTGTTGCTATTTGTTCAGAGATGACATACCAAAACAAGGTGGAAATTATGCTTTTGTGAGTGAAGGTTTTTCTTGTTGGAAAAAACCCGAGGCTTTATCTGAGCATGTAGGTGGAATTAATAGCTTTCATAATATTGCTGTTAAGAGATGTGATGATTTGAGGAATCAGAGTCAGTCAATTGTGCATGCTTTTTATAAGCAAGGCGATATGGTGAAAAATGAATATCGCATCCAGTTAAATGCTTTAGTTGATGTTTTATAGGTATTTATTACGGCAAGGATTACCTTTTCGCGGTCATGATGAAAGAAAAGATTCTACTTTGTAGAGCTCTTGAAGTATACTGGAGAACAAAATAAAGCTGTAAGTAAAGTTATTTTGGAGAACGCTCCAAAAAATAACCAGATGGTTTCTCAAGTGATTCAGAAAGATATTGTACATTCTTTTACAAGAAGTACTGAAATCTATCACGGAAAAATCGATCATGGAGTGTTCGGTTTGATGGTTGATGAGTCTGCAAATGTTTCTAACAAAGAGAAAATAGCTGTTGTCTTCCGGTTTGTTGATAAAAGTGGATTAGTAAAAGAAAGATTTGTGGTAGTTACTCATGTAAAAGAAACGTCTTCTTTTTCTCTGAAATCTGCAGTTGATGACTTGTTTGCAAAACATGGGTTGAGCCTGAAACAATTGAGAGAACAAGGTCATGATGGAGCAAGCAATATGAAGGGTCAGTTTAATGGGCTGAGAGCATTGGTTACTAGAGAAAATAGTTCAGCCTATTATGTACATTGTTTTGCTCGTCATCTTCAGCTAGTTGTGGTGGCAGTCGCGAAAAAGAGCGTTGAAGTTAGTAATTTTTTTGACATGGTTTCGACTTTGATGAATGTGGTTATGGCTTCTTGCAAGAGAAAAGATACGCTTCTTAATATGTATCGTAAGAGGGTGGAGGAAGGGATTGACAGTGGTGAAATTAACACTGGAACGGGACAAAATCAAGATATTTCTCTTCCAAAGACTGGAAATAAACGTTGGGGTTCTCACTATAAAATTTTGCTGCGTTTGGTTGAGTTGTTTTCTTCAGTCATTGAAATCCTTGAAATTGTTCAAGATGAAGGCACTGATGACTCAAAATGATGTCAAGCATATGGTCTTCTTAAGTATTTTCACACATTCGATTGTGTGTTGTATTTATAGTTGATGCTGTTTATTTTGGGAGTAACTGAGAATCTGTCAATAGCTTTGCAAATGAAGAATCAAGATATTTCAAATGCCATTCACTTGTAGATTCAACTAAACGAGAGTTGCAAAATTTTCGAGAAGGTGGATGAATTTGCTAATAGGTAAAGTTTCATTATTCTGCGAAAAGAATAATGTTAATATGCTTGTGATGGATGAAGAATTTGTGGATTTAAGGAGGCCAAAGAAAAAAATAGGTGTAACCGATCTGCATCATTACAAGGTTGATTTTTTTCTACATTGTTATAGATTTTCAGCTTCAAGAGCTTAATGATCGATTTTCTGAGGTAAACACAGATTTGCTTATTTGTACGGCTTCTTTATGTCCCGCCAATTCCTTCCGTGAGTTTGATAAGTCAACGCTGTTGAGATTGGTTAAATTCTATCCAGAGGATTTTAGCTTTGGAGAGCGTCTATCTATAGAACACCAACTTGGAATCTACATTGACAATATAAGAAATGATGAACGGTTTCAGAATTTGAAGAATCTTGGAGATCTTTCTCGTATGATGGTGGAAACAAAAAAGCACCTTGTACATCCTTTAGTTTATAGGTTCTTGAAGTTGGTTTTAACATTGCATGTTGCTACTGCAAGTGTTGAAAGGTGCTTTTCTGCAATGAAATTAGTGAAGACAGCCACACGCAACCGAATTGGAGAAGAATTTCTAAGTGATTGTTTAGTATGTTATATTGAAAAGGAGTTGTTTGAGTATGTTACAAATGAAACAGTGGTGAAACGATTTCAATCCATAAGAGAGCGTAGGAGACATTTGTAAGGATTTGTACGTTTTTCATTGTAAGGATTTATACGTTTTTATGACAATGTTTTTTATATTTTATCTAGTAATTTTTTTTATTTCTGCCCCTGATACATATAGTTTCTAGATTCGCCACTGGTTGTTAGACCCATTAATTGACCCGATTAATAAGTCTCAATGGACATGAAGATATATCATTTTGTTCTAAGGATATCGTTGCCTATGTTAATGGGATGAATAAGATCTGTGAAAAAAGTCTACTTTTTTCAACTTGAATCTGATTATATCTTTGTGTTCTAAGGATATTGATGCCAACGTTACTTTTTCTCTAGTTTTTACATTCAATCACTACAAAACACTTAATGTGGGTTTTATGATCCACATTGGTGACTTGTTTTATTGGCTTTAGTAGTTTGATACCATTGAAATAATGGTAAAATGCATGCATTGATGAGATATGTGTTTCTACTGAGACTGAGCTTGAATAAAATGTCAATAAATTAGGTAGACAAACACATATAGTGGCTAGATAGAGACTGTGTTAAGCAGACTGATATGGTATTATCTTTTCGTTCAATGGTCAAATAGTATCTATCAAATCGCCATAAAGTAAAGTTGAACTTGTGAAACTAAACAAGTCAGAACCTTAACAGTTTAACCTTATATAGTTTTTCATTGTCGAAAATACTTGTTAGTCAAAGAACACGTTTTTTGTGTTAGCTAGTGATGACGATAATGACGGTCATGGATTGTCAACAAAAGAAGCACACAACTTTCAAAATTGTGGTTTTCACACATCTTCACTTCTTCTATAAATAGCCAACGAAGGTGAAGACAAAAGACATCCCAAAACAAAAAGAAAAGATCCCAAAGTGAGAGAGAAGAAGAGAGTGCAAGAGAGAAAAAAAATTAAAAAATATTTTTTTCTAAGAAATTAAGTGTAAATTTTTTAGTGTATTTAAGGTTGGGTGTGAGTTGAGAGCATTGTAAAAATTCCCGAGTTAAAAATAAAAGATCTGTAGTAGATCCAGAGACGTAGGCACGATTTACTGAACTCCGTTAACAGTTTTGTGTGCATCTTCCTACTCCCATAACTTCTAGTTATCCCACAAAAATTGACCAGTATTTATTACCAACTTGTATCAGAGCTTGAGTTACGGTAATCGGTCAAAATTTTTTGTCAGGTTACTGTACACATGAATAGTGAATCCGTGAATAGTAATTTTTGTCTGTAACATCGGTTTGTTGATGGAAGTGTTTTAATACACGGTGGTTTTAGAAACACTGGGAGACGAAGACGGTAAGACGGCTCGGTGCACAATATCGGCAAGTTTGACGGTATAGATTATGTATTTTATAGAATGCAATCAAGGATTATATGTACGGAACGAAGCTTCACCAACCGCTGAGCAAGAAGCCTGAGAAGGTAGATCAGGATGAGTAGGAGCTCCTTGACAGACAAGTTATGACTGTTATAAGGTTAACACTGTCGAAAAACGTTGAAAAGGAGAAGACCACGAAATGGCTCATGAAAGTTCTCTCTGACATGTATGAGAAACCTTCGGAAAACAACAAGGTGTTTCTCATGAAAAAATCTTTCATCTGAAGATGGAAGAAGGTGGCCTAGTTTCTGCACATTTTAACGACTTCAACACGATTTCCAACCAACTGTCATCGATTGAAATCGAGTTTGATGATGAACTGTGTGCACTGATTCTGTTGGCATCTCTGCCAAATAGTTGGGAGCCAATGAGAACAGCGGTTAGTAATTCTGTTGGTACTCAGAAGTTTAAGTTCAATGATGTGAGAGATTGTATCCTTGCTGAGGAAGTTCGGAGGATAGACGTTGGAGAGACATTAACGAACTCTGCTTGCAACGTGGAAAACAGAGCGAGAAACCAAGACAGACGTAATCGAAGTAATGGCAGATCGAGTCAAGAAATGGATGGGGCTAGTCCAAGTTCAGACAGCCTGCTGAGTGCTGGAATTTTGAAAAGACAGGCCACATTAAAAGAATTTGTCGGGCACTACCGAAGAAGGACGACAACAAGGGAAGCGGAGCCAATGCAGTGACACGTGAGATTGCTGATGCATTGGTAGTGTCAGTTGATTTCCCAAGGAAAAGTGAAGCTCGTGATACAGACACAAATACCACCAAAGCATCAATCTCCTATGTTGATAGCCTAGTCGTTTCATTGGTTCTTGACTCAAGAGCGTCATTCCACACCACACTGCACCAAAACATCACAGAGAATTATATTGCAGGAAATTACGGAAAGGTATACCTTGCTGATGGATTACCTTTGGACATAGTTGGTATTGGAAATATCAATCTAAAGATGTCAAAT